CCACTACCATCATCATCATCACCATCATCACCACCATCATCATCATCACCAACATCATCATCATCATCATCACCACCATCATCATCATCATCATCATCACCACCATCATCATCACCACCACCATCATCGTCGTCGTCATCCTCCCTTACTTCAGCCACATATTCTCTGCTATGATTAGCTGTGTCGCTAACAACGTATTCAAAATCTTTGTTGGGAAGCTTTTCATAGTTCAACTTTTCCAATATTTCATCAGTACCCTGGGTTTAGTTAATTAATTAATTCATTCATTCAATCATTCATTCATTCATTCATTAAATCAATTACTCATCCATTCATTCATTCATTTTTTCGTTTGTTCATTTGTTACATTAGATTATCTATGTTTGTTAATTCATTCATTCGTTTGTTCTTTCATCCATTCATTCATTCATTCACTCATTCATTCGTTCATTTACTCATAAAATCATCCATTCATTCATCAATTCATCCATCCATTCACCCATTCACTAACGATAATAGGATGAACTTTCTCATTGTATATCTTGTTGAAATATGATATAGTCTTCCAGCCATTGGGCCTCATCTGAACTGGCAGTAGAATGTTGGCAGCATATTTTGACAGCACCCTTAATGCCACTATCAACAATTTCACCTCATAAACATTCTGTGAAAAAGTTAAATTTGAATAAAATTAAAATTAAATTTTAATTAAATTTTAATTTAAATTTTTACAAAATTTATTAATTAATATTAATTAATAATTATCATTAATAATTATAATAAATAATTAAATAAATAGATTAATTATGAAATTATAAAAGTGACCTTGCAGTTGTCGACAACAAGCTCCTCAGCCTTTACAATTTTGTATTTCTCTTTGAAGTCCACGTGTATGTTCGAAAAGATTTTTAGTGCCTCGTTGGGATTAAACAGATTAAGAAATTGATGTACTATACTTCTCTTCAGGGCATTTATGTTTTCCATTTGATTATCTTTGTTGTCCTTTTCTATTTGTTATCTATTTTTTCTTTTTGGTTTTATTTTATCTTTGAATTAAAGATAATTAAAATGGATTGAGTATTAAAGTCCGAATGTTGTTTTAAACGTACCCAAGAAGTCAAATTGAATGAAGGTAAATAACTTAATGTGTGTATGTATTGTACAACAAGTATTGTACATGCATGTATGAATGAATGTCTACCATATACTTACATAATGACAAACTACAAATTATTATTTTATTATTTGTAATAAATTTTAAATCTAGATTTAGAATATTACTTTAGAATCTAAATTCTTAACCTCAGTCAGGCCTTTTAAAGATTCAAAAAGTTTTAATAGAAACTGTATCTAGTTTAAAATATTGGTTTATAATGAAACTGAACTGATAATAAAAAAGAGAGGGATTGGAAAATAAAAGAAAGAGATAGAGAGAGAGAGAGAGAGAGAGAGAGAGAGAGAGAGAAAGGGGCAGAGAAAAATTTGATAAAGGAGGGATTAAAGAAGAGAGAGTGAGAGAGACACAGAGATACTTGCCTTGTCCTGTGTTGTAATTTGCCAATTATCTAGTGATGTTATTATTATCATGGTCATGATATGTATCTATCTATAATTCTATATGTATATCTATAATATATATGATGATGTATCAATGTTCAATGTATGTATAATTGTGTGTAGTATAGTTATAGTTTGATCAGGACAAAAAAATCAGAACCAGAGTTTAAACCAGAGCTTAAACTTGAAAAACATCTCTCATACTAACAACATATTAATACAAAAAACACTTTTATTTACAATTTTTTTTTTTAAATAACTTTTTTCCAACCAAATTCCGCAAAATATCGCATAAAATGTCAAAAAAACTTTAACAGAAAGTCACAACAGAATTGATAATCTGGGAATTCCAGAGATAAGGTAGTAAAGAAGTGATGTGCTGTACACTTGAGTCATAATCATACAAAATTGTAATCAGATCCATTTCTCGTTCAAATTTCTCATTTTACGAATTATATTTTATGTTTTTCACTATGAAATTAATAAAAATGTATTATATATTATTCAAAATCTGTGAAAAAGGTTATAAAAATGCTCTCTTTGAATTAAAATGTGTTGAATAACCACCATTTAGGGTATAACACATATTTCTCCTCTTATCTCAAGAGTTTATAACTAAAGTATGTCTGTCAAAATATAATTCATTCAATCGTTCGTTCGTTCACTCATTCATTCGTTCGTTCGTTCACTCACTCATTTGTTAGTTCATTTATTCATTCATTGATTCGTTCATTTTCTCACTCACTCACTCATTATTTCATTCTTAATTACATGCACACCCATACACTCTATCATTAATTAGGCAAAATTAATAACATTATTATCCTCTATAAATAGCGTTAATTAGTATTACTATTGTTAATTATAAATATACAAAATAAAATAATTTAACAACGATTTAAAAGAGAAATTTCGTTAAAACTCTTTAAATACAAACCTGTCGATGAGTCAATCATTTCGACTGTATGTTAACTCTAAGTTTCATCTTCATAAAATTTTAAGGATACCATACATACATACAAACATACATACATACATACATACATACATACATACATACATACATACATACATACATACATACATACATACATACATACATACATACATACATACATACATACATACATACATACATACATACATACATACATACATACATACATACATACATACATACATACATACATACATACATACATACATACATACATACATACATACATACATACATACATACATACATACATACATACATACATACATACATACATACATACATACATACATCAGCATAGCTTCGGACGGTCCAACTCTGGCCGATAGCTACGAATATTTGAAGCATAACTCCGCTGCAATTGGTTTAGAGTTAAACATTAAAAAATGCGAACTTCACTGCCAATGTTTATTTCAGGTGCCACATGCGCTGGCTGAAATACCCAGAGTTGGTGCATCAGAACTGAGTTTTTTAGGCACACCCTTGGTCGAGGGCGATTATCAAATAAAGTTTTTTGACCAAAAGCTCTCTGAGCTTAAATTCGCTCTGGGTCGTGTTTCCTGTCTTTCGGCCCATGATGCCTTGACTATTATCCGCAATGCCCTCAGTTTGCCCAAATTGATGTACTTCCTGCTTACATCTAAAAACATTGACTTTTCTAAATTGGGCGAATTTGACGGAGCCCTGCGCACCGCCCTGTCGTCGATTTGCAATGTTCAAGTGACCGACAGTGGTTGGTCCCAGGCTCAGCTGCCGGTGCGATTTGGTGGGCTGGGGTTGCTTAGCGTGGTTCAGCTGGCTCCCGTTGTTTATAATTCTTCTGCCGCTGCCACTCTCGACCTGCAGTCTTCCCTGCTCCACCGGTTTTTTCGTTGCCGCGATATTCTTCCCCCAGTGTCCGCCCCGGGGGACCGTACGCACGTCCAAATTTTGAACGAAGAATATAAAAAAATCTTTCAAAATTTGTTGTCTTCATGCGGCGACGACTTTTCCATCGCTCGTTTGTTGGCCATGTCCAGCGTTGCCAGCTGTGGGTGGTTGAGATCGTGGCCTAACACCTCTGTGGGCACCAGGCTTGACGACGAGTCTGTGAGATTTGCCATTGGCTTCAGACTTGGCCTGGTCATTCAGAATAAATACACGTGCCGATGTGGCGCTGGGGCGGACGAGTTTGGGCACCACGGTTTGGTTTGTCGCCTGGGTGGGGGCCGTCAACTACGTCACTCAGCGCTAAACGATTACGTTTGTCGGCTCTTCTCCAAGGCTTCAATCCCGGTTCTCAAGGAACCATCCGGCATTTCTGCGCATGATGGTAGGCGCCCAGACGGATGCACGCTAATACCTTGGAGAGCCGGCAGATGTTTGGCGTGGGATGTTACGGTCCCTGGCACCCTCGCCGAACGATAGTAAACCTGACAAGTAAAGAATGCGGTTTGGCCGCGGCCAGGGCAGCGGACGAGAAAATGAAAAAATATGGGAACGCCCTCCCCTCGATGGAATTCTTGCCAATATGTATCGAGGTTCTTGGCTCGATGGACCCCAACACCCTTAAATTTCTTAAGGAAATATGCAAAATGATCAGCGTCAGATCAGGCGACAGCAGGGAACTGTTTTTCGCAACCAACCACATTTCGTGCTTGTTGCAGCGGTTCCTGCGTGTCTGTGTGCTTGAAAATATCCAACTGAATGCCGTCACGTGCAATTAACGACAAATCAAAGTGTCAATCCATTTGTTACTTGATGTTTGACGGTTCAGTGTCACTCATCATGTTTTGGCTTTAACATCAAAATCAAATCAAATCAAATCAAATCACTTTTATTCAATCAAACAAAACAAAAGCATGAATGATTCGGAGACCAAAAAAAGAAAATTAATTCTTGTGGGCTCGGCCACCGTGCAGCTCAAAATTGCTTCTCAATGATAAAATAAAATTGTCAATAGGAGAAAATGTATCAATGTTAATGAAATATGTACACACTTATATACATATATATACATATACATTATTATCCTTGAAAAACAGAACTTTTCGTAATTAAAAAATTTTTCAGTTTATTTTTAAAAAGATGCAAAGTGTTACAATCTTTAATTTCTTGTGGAATCGTCTCCCATATTCCTGGGCCGGTATGTTTCAAACTCATGCAGAGTACTTTAATTCTGGCTGGTGGAGCATAGAAAAGTGGCGTGTGGCGTGTAGTTCTTGCTTGAATGGAAGTTCCAAAAGTGAAAAAGTTTCTAAAAAATGCCGGCAACTGCTGACGTAGAAATCTAAAAATGAATGTTGCAACGTGGTAGATGAACAAGTTTTTGATGTTGAGTATTTTCATCTCGAGATAATATTCACTTGTGTGACAATGAGGATGAAGATTTTTAAATATTCTGATGAATCGGTTTTGGCATTTTGTAACTGTTTTAG